CAGGATCGAGTCCCGCATCGGGCTCCCTGCTCAGCAGGGAGTCTGCTTCTCCCTCTGACCCTCTTCCCTCTCGTGCTATCTCTCATTCTCTCTCTCTCAAATAAATAAACAAAATCTTTAAAAAAAAAAAAAATACTGTCAAGTCCATCAAAAACAAGGAAAATCCTTGAAACTATCAGAGCCAAGGGGAGCCAAAGGAGATACAACTACATGTAATATGATATTTTAGATGGGATCCTGCAAAACAAGAATTAGGTAAATGCTAAGAAAATCTGAATAAATTATGGATTTTAATTAATAATATATCAACACTGGTTAAGATGTAAATAATAGGGGAAACTGGATGTGAGTATATGGGAACTCTATGTACTATCGTCACAATTTTTATATAAATCTAAAACTATTCTAAAAACCAAAGTTTAAGGGGCGCCTGGGTGGCTTAGTCGTTAAGCGTCTGCCTTCGGCTCAGGTCATGATCCCAGGGTCCTGGGATCGAGCCCCACATCGGGCTCCCCGCTCCGCGGGGAAGCCTGCTTCTCCCTCTCCCACTCCCCCTGCTTGTGTTCCCTCTCTCGCTGTGTCTCTCACTGTCAAATAAAATCCTTAAAAAAATAAAAAATTAAAATTAAAAAAAAACAAAGTTTAGGGACACCTGGGTGGCTCAGTCAATTAAGCTTCTGCCTTTGGCTCAGGTCATGATCCCAGTGTCCTGGGATCGAGCCCCGCTTAAGGCTCCCTGCCTGGGGGGAGGGCGGGGCAGGGGTCTGCTTCTCCCTCTGCCTGCCGCTCCCTCTGTTTGTGCTCACTCCCCTCCCTCTCTCTCTCCCCAACAAATAAATCTTTTTAAAAATTTAAAATTAAAAAAATTAAAAACAAAGTTTATTTAAGCGGGGGGCGCCTGGGTGGCTCAGTCAGTTGAGACTCTTGATTTCAGCTCAGGTCATGATCTCAGGGTTGCGGGATGAAGCCCTGCATGAGGCTTCATGCTCAGTGTGGAGTCTGTTTGAGATTCTCTCCCTCTCCCTCTGCCCTTCCCCCAACTTTCTCTCGCTCACGCGTTTCTCTCTCTCAAATAAATAAATCTTAAAAAAAAAAAAGACAGTCTACAGCCTGTACCCCCCAATGCCCCCTCATACACACATTCCCACCCCAAAGGCAAGCTTAGAGCTCCTAAAGATGAGGCCTACAGTTAATGAGAGACAGGAACTGATTTCTACCTCCTTGTAAAGAAGAAGGCAGGCCACCTTCCTCCTTGTGTCAGGTTATATCCACTTCCTCCCCAACCTTAACCCCACTCTATGCTCTGAAGCTACTAAACACATATTTTCATCTTGTACTTAATTGATAACATTCCCATCATGCCTACCCTTACCCTCCTTACTATAAATTCCCTAGAACACATCTTATTCCATTGCTGAAGTGGATCACCACTTTATCAATGGAGCTCCTGTCTTGAGCCTGCAAGATAACTTAAGCTAATGTAACTGTTCTCTCCAGGTGAGGCAATGTCTCCTGAGCTTTGCACTTTTGGCTTCTACCTCATCAATAGAGCACTTCAGAAGGAGCCCAGAGAAACCTGCCCAAGATCTTACCACACACTTTGGCAAACTTCTACAAACTAAGTCAGAAGTTATTTTTCTTCTCATCTCCTAGAATCATCAAGTGTAAAGGTGGAAGTCTTATCCTTTCAATTAATAAAGCAAAAACCATGGCCCAGAGAGATGCTGTAAATTGCTAGAGGCTAAAGCTAATTGAGAGAGACTTGATTAAAACCCAAGCGCTCAGAGGATTAATTTCAAAGTACCACTGAATGCAAAGCTGAAATGACCTAAGGGAAAGCTGAGTATATTGCCCTCAGAATATAATGTGCCAATGAAGTTAGAAGCACCAATGAATAGTGTCAAAATTTAACAAAAGGAAGAAGAATGAAGAGATGCACCCTGGTTAACTTTGAACTACATGAAAAGCAAGAATGAGCTTTTCATTTGTAATGACGAATAAAAGGTAAAGGTCACTATAAGACATGTTAAAATTCTGTATGGGACAAGGAATGCCAAATGAAGAACTCCACTCAGTCTTTGCGGGGGGGGGGGGGTCTTGTAAAATTAATGTATTTCTAAAAGATGCATGAACTCCAAAGCAAAGCAACTACATTAGATTATGAAATGCTGAAGATGCAGGTTTACCTCCTTCTTCTCCACCAACTGAAACCCCATAACTTCTCCCAAATGAAGAAAAATGTGGATTCGGCTAAGTGTCAGCTATTTTAACAATAACAAAAGTATACATAAATAAACACTAATAACTTTATAAATATTCACTATGTACCTATCCATGTTCTAAAGCTATTAGCTATACTAATTCATTTAATTCTCAAATTCTATGCAATAGGCTTTATTAATATTCCCATTTTACAAATAAGGAATGGAAGCCCAGAGAGTTTAGGTAACTTGTTCAAGGTCACACAGTTAGTGAGAAAAAATGAACAAGGACAGTTTGGTTCTCTTGCTAAAGTCCCCTTGACAGTCACCATGGACTACTTTATATTCTTATTTATCTTCATCTACTTTATATTATTTATCTTCATTAAAGCCTAGAAGACATGGATAAATTCCTAGAAACACATAACCTCCCAAAACTGAAGGAGGAAGACATAGAAGATTTGAACAGACTGATGACCAGCAACGAAACTCAATCAGTAATCAAAAAACTCCCAACAAACAAAAGACCAGGACCAGATGGCTTCACAGGTGAATTCTACCAAACATTCAAAGAGTAAAGTTAATACATATTCTTCTCAAACGGTTCCAAAAAAAGAAAAAAAGAAGAAAAGGAAGGAAAGCCTCCAAATTCATTCTATGAGGCCAGCATTACCCTGATACCAAAATCAGATCAAGACTACTACAAAAAAAAAAAAAAAAAGAACTATAGGCCAATATCTCTGATGAACCTAGATGCAAAAATCCTCAGCAAAATACTAGTAAACCAAATCCACAATACATTAAAAAATATCATTCACTATGACCAAATGGGATTTATTCCCAGGATGCAAGGATGGTTCAATATTCACAAATCAATCAACATGATACATCACATCCACAAGAGAAAGGATGAAAACCATATAATCATTTCAAGAGATGCAGAAAAAGCATCTGACAAAGTACAATACCCATTCATGATAAAAGCCCTCAACAAAGTAGGTTTAGAGGGAACATACCTCAACATAATAAAGGCCATATATGAAAAACCCACAGCTAACATACTGGGGAAAAAAACGAGCTTTTCCCCTAGGAATAGGAACAAGGCAAGGATGTCCACTCTCACCACTTTTATTCAACATAATACTGGAAGTCCTAGCCACAGCAGTTAGACAACAAAAAGAAATAAAAGGCATCCAAATTGGTAAGGAAGAAATAAAACTTTCACTATTTGCATATTACATGATACTATATATAGAAAACCCTAAAGACTCCACCAAAAAACTACTAGAACTGATAAATGAATTCAGTAAGGTCGCAGGATATAAAATCAATATACAGGAATCGGTTGTATATCTGTACACTAATAATGAAGTAGCAGAAGGAGAAATTAAGGAAACAATTCAATTTACAATTACACCAAAAATAATAAAGTATCTAGGTAAAAATTTAATGAAAGAGGTAAAAGACTTGTCCTCTGAGAACTATAAAACTCTGGTGAAAGAAATTGAAGATGACACAAACAAATTAAAAGATATTCCATGCTCATGGACTGGAAGAACAAATACTGTTAAAATGTCCATATGAGGGGCATCTGGGTGGCTCAGTCAGTTAAGTGTTCAACTCTTGATTTTGGTTCAGGTCATGATCTCAGGGTTGTGATCCAGCCCTGCAGAAGGCTCCAGCCGGCTTGGGATTCTCTCTCTCCCTCTGCCTGGCCCCTTGTGATTGCAGGCTCTCGCTCTCTCTCTCAAATAAATAAATCTTTAAAAAAAGAAAAAAGTCCATATTACCCAAAGCAATCTACAGATTTAATGCGATGCCTATCAAAATACCAAGAGCATTTTTCACAGACCTAGAACAAATGATCCTGAAACTTGTATACGACCACAAAAGAGCCCGAATAGCTGAAGCAAGCTTAGATAAAGAATAAAACTGGAGCTATCACAATCCCAGATTTCAAGATATACTACCAAAACTGTAGTAATCAAAACAGTATGGTACTGGCACAAAAAAAGACACAGTTCAATGGAATAGAATAGGGAGCTCAGATATAAACCCATGATTACATGGTCAATTAATCTACAACAAAGGAGGCAAAAATATGCAGTGGGAAAAAGAGAGTCTCTTCAACAAATAGTGCTGGGGAGACTGGACAGCTATATGCAAAAAAGTGAAACTGGACCATTTTCTTACACTATAGACAAAAAATAAACTCCAAATGGATTAAAGACCTAATATAAGAACTGAAACCATAAAAATCCTAGAAGAGAGCAGAGGCAGTAATTTCTCTGACATTGGCCATAGCATCATTTTTCTAGATATGGCTCCTGGGGTAAGAGAAACAAAAGCAAATAAACCCACAAAAAACAAACAAGCACCCCCAAAAAACTATTGTGACTACATCAAAATAAAAAGCTTCTGCACAGCAAAGAAACAATCAACAAAACTAAATGGCAACCTACTGAGGGGTGCCTGGGTGGCTCAGTCGTTAAGTGTCTGCCTTTGGCTCGGGTCGTGATCCCAGGGTCCTGGGATCGAGCCCCGCATGGGGCTCCCTGCTTGGCAGGAAGCCTGCTTCTCCCTCTCCCACTCCCCCTGCTTGTGTTCCCTCTCTCACTGTGTCTCTCTGTCAAATAAATAAATAAAATCTTTAAAGAAAAAAAAAGGCAACCTACTGAATGGGAGAAGATGCTTGCAAATGACCTATCCAATAAAGTAGTATCCAAAATATACAAAGAACTCCTACAACTCAACACCAAACATAAAAAATAATCCAATTAAAAATGGGCAGGCCCTTTTCTGGCGTTCAAGATGTCAAAGCAAGGACGTGGTGGGTCCTCCGGTGCGAAATTCCGGATTTCCCTGGGTCTTCTGGTAGGTGCCGTGATCAACTGTGCTGACAACACAGGAGCCAAAAACCTGTATATCATCTCTGTGAAGGGGATCAAGGGACAATTGAACAGACTTCCTGCTGCTGGTGTGGGTGACATGGTGATGGCCACAGTGAAGAAAGGCAAACCAGAACTCAGAAAGAAGGTACATCCAGCAGTGGTAATTCAACAACGTAAGTCATACCAGAGAAAAGATGGTGTGTTTCTCTATTTTGAAGATAATGCGGGGGTCATAGTAAACAAATGAAAGGTTCTGCTATCACAGGACCAGTTGCAAAGGAGTGTGCAGACTTGTGGCCCAGGATTGCATCCAATGCTGGCAGCATTGCATGATTCTTTGGTGTATTTGTTAATTAAAAATTATTTGCTCTCAAAAAAAAAAAATGGGCAGAAGACATGAATAAACATATTTCCAAAGAAGACCGACAGATGGCCAACAGACATATGAAAAGATGCTCAACATCACTAAATATCAGGGAAGTGCATAACTAAATCACAATGAGATTATCACCTCACACCTGTCAGAGTGGCTAAACTCAACAACACAAGAAACAAGTGTTGGTAAGGATGTGGAGAAAAAGGAACCCTCGTGCACTGTTGGTGGGAATGCAAACTGGTGCAGCCACTGTGGAAAACAGTATGAAGGTTCCTTAAAAAATTAAAAATAGAATTACCATATGATTCAGTAATTCCACTACTGGGTATTTACCCAAAGGGCACTTTGGGTATTTACCCTAGAACACTAATTCAAAGGGATGCATGCACCCTACTGTTTATAGCAGCATTATTTACAATAACCAAGATATGGAAGGAGCCCAACTGTCCACCAATAATGAATGAAGATGTGATATATACATACAATGGAATATTACTCAGTCATCAAAAAGAATGAAATCCTGCCATTTGCAATGACATGGATGGAGCTAGAGATTATAATGCTAAGTGAAATAAGTCAGTCAGAGAAAGACATATGCCATATGATTTCACTCATGTGTGGAATTTAAGAAACAAAACAAGTGAACAAAGAAGAGAGACAAAAAAAGAGACTCTTCGATATGGAGAACAGCAGCAAAAAAACAGTGAACAAACTGGTGGTTACCAGAGGGGGAATAGGAGGGGGATGGGTGAAATAGGTGATGGGGATTAAGTACACAAGTCTCTTTTCGCAGATGACACAATACTTTATGTGGAAAACCCTAAAGATTCCACCCCCAAATTACTAGAACTCATACAGCAATTCAGTAAGTTTCTTCAACTTTTTAGACAACTACAAACTGGGCCATATGACCTGGTATGTCCCATGTATCAACTCAAAAAAACTATAGTTTATGACTTGAAACACACAATAGAGGTAACTGAGGTGCAGGTGTACCTATTACCTGTATTATTTTAGACTAAGTCTTCTAACATTTCTGAGTTTCAATTTACTTGTCTTAATTTTTTTAAAAGATTTTATTTATTTATTTGAGATAGAGTGAGCAAGAGCATGGGGTGGGAGGGAGGAGAGGGAGAAGAGAAGCAGACTCCCGGCTGAGCAGGGAGCCCGACGCGGGGCTCGATCCCAGGACCCTGGGATCATGACCTGAGCCAAAGGCAGACGCTTAACCAACTGAGCCACCCAGGTGCCCCTCAATTTATGTATTTAAAATGGTAATAACTGGGGGCACCTGGGTGGCTCAGGCGGTTAAGCAGCTGCCTTCAGCCCGGGTCATGATCCCAGGACCCTGGGATCGAGTCCCACATCGGGTTCCTTACTCAGCAGGGAACCTGCTTCTCCCTCTCTCTCCCTCTGCTTATGCTCTGTCAAATAAATAAAAAAACTTAAAAAATTAATTAAATAAAATAAAATGGGAATAACTGGGGCGCCTGGGTCTCAGTCGTTAAACGTCTGCCTTCAGCTCAGGTCATGGTCCCCGGGTCCTGGGATCAAGCCCCGCATTGGGCTCCCGGCTCAGCAGGAAGCCTGCTTCTCCCTCTCCCCCTCTCCCTGCTTGTGTTCCCTCTCTCGCTGTGTCTCTGTCAAATAAATAAAATCTTAAAAAAAAAAAAAATGGGAATAACAAAACATACCTTCTTCCCTCAGCTTATTTGAAAGAATCAAGTTAAATGAGGCTGTGAAAGCCCTTCCTCCTCAGAAAAGCACCAAATAAATGTAAAGTATTTGTAAAATATAACAAGCAACATACAGGTATAAACGTGTGAAGCATTAATAGCAAATGACTTTTATTAGCAGCCAGTGAGACAGCTTGGAAAAACACGGGCTTTCAGGTCAAAAAGACATGGATTCAAGTCCCCATTCTACCATTTACTAGCTGATGGATCCTCCTCAAGTTGCTTAATTTCCGAGCCTGAATCTTTTCAATTATAAAATGGAGAAAATAATACTGACCTCACAGGGGATAAGAAACATCTGATTGATGGTGAACATGAATTTTATTCTGTGCCCTCATACTGACGATATTACTTATTTTACTCAGAACACATGGAAGTTACAGCTGTCCTTCCAGAGTTTATCATAAAGTCATAAATATATGGAAAGAATAAATTTATTTAATATTAATTAAACCCTATTAATGCCTACCACTCTTCCTGGTGATTAGGGGAGGTCCCAGAATTGTGCATTCCCTGCCCTTTGAGGAAACAATATAAAAATGTTGAAGGTGGGGCGCCTGGGTGGCTCAGTCGTTAAGCGTCTGCCTTCGGCTCAGGTCATGATCCCGGGGTCCTGGGATCGAGCCCCGCATCGGGCTCCCTGCTCCGCGGGAAGCCTGCTTCTCCCTCTCCCACTCCCCCTGCTTGTGTTCCCTCTCTCACTGTGTCTCTCTCTATCAAATAAATAAATAAAATCTTTAAAAAAAAAATGTTGAAGGTGAGCAAGAGGGTCTCAGACCCATTTGAGATTCTGATGAAAGTTACGGTATCTCTCCCCAAAGAAAGCTACAAAACTTTTAGGAAATACAGGAGATTAGGAGAATATCTTCATGACCTTGGTTAGGGAAAGCATTCTTAACCAAGGGGCACAGCAAGGGGAAGAGGGTCACTAACTACAAAGAAAGATTCATAAATACACCTACATTGAAATTAAGTATTTCCACTTCAAAAGAAACCATAAAGAAAATTTTAAAAAATATGCCCAAGTGGAAGAACATATTTGCAGCACATCCAACCAACAAAAGTTCAGATTCCTCTGTAAGAACCCCAACAAATCAATAAAAAAAAAAATGATAGCCAAAAAGGGTGATATATTTATGCAATGAAAACAAACTACAGCTGCATATAACAGTATGGATAAATCTTACAAACAATATTGAGTGAAAAAAAGCATAACACTAAAGAATACAGACAGGATGGTTCCACTTATATGAAGTTTTAAAATAGGTAAACTAAATACTGTATAGGGATGCATATGCATACAGGGAAGACTGTACAGAAAAGCAAGGAAATTAATACAAAAAAAAAAATAGTAGTTCCCTCAAGGTGAAATAAGAGGCCATGACCAGGAGGGATCAGAGTTTGCTTCTAGGGAACTGACAATATTCTATTTCTTTTTTTTTTAAAGATATTATTTATTTATTTGACAGACAGTGAGAGAGGGAACACAAGCAGGGGGAGAGGGAAAGGGAGAAGCAGGCTTCCCGCCGAGCAGGGAGCCCAATGCGAGGCTCGATCCCAGGACCCTGGGAAAATGACCCGAGCCGGAGGCAGATGCTCAACGATTGAGCCACCCAGGCGCCCCGACAATATTCTATTTCTTGATTTGGACACAGGTTATAAGAGTTTCACTTTATGATTTACAGGCTTTATACACTCTTCTGAATGTATATTGCAAAAATAAATAAACACACCTTCACAACCACACCTACATTTAGCAGGAAGAGAAGGAGTTCACAGACTCCCTCAGTCCATAAACCCCAAATGTATGATGTCAAGTTATGTGAGATCAAAGAAAAAGAAAATCTAGATTGTAAAACAGAGGGAAGAAGGAAGCAACAAGAACCGGAGAGGTGAAAGATTAGAAAGACGATAAGCAGAAGACACACTAAGCTTCTGGGTCAGTTCACACTCTTACTTGGACGGAGAACAACATCTAGCACAAACAGAACGAGCAAACGCCCAAGCTTGGTAAGGAATGCGATGGTGTCTGAAAAACACGTGGACTAATGAGTGGAAAGAGGAGCACAGCTTGTAAAGAAATGTGGACTATTAAACAATGTATCCCAAAAGAAAGAAGACCAATTGTTGCAAGTTTAACCCTCTGCCCACTTCATAGTATTTCTGTCCTTCACCCCTTAATGGAAACAGGGCATATTATTACATGGTTAGACTGCAAACACCAATTTCCAGCAAAGTATTATCACAGAATCTAGAAAAGCTTCTGCCAGCCTTAGAATAAACATACACATTGCAACTAAATGATGAACATGTATCTGGATCATATCTAGTCTGACCTCCAATACTCTGCACGTTACAGTCCATTGTACGAGAAAGTGAAGCTGTTTGCTGAAGGTAATAGGAATCCAAGGCACCCTACACTGTTTAAATCAGCACATCAATGGAGGGACATCTTTGTAAAGTTTTTTCATTGTATTCTTGCAAGAAATATTAATTCATAGCCAGCAGCTGCCCATGATTTCATTAGTCTGGCTTATACTGAACAAAACTATCAATTACTTTCAAAACGACTGGTGTTCATGAAGAAAGTCAAATGCCTTACTTTGATGAAAAGTCCTAGTAATGGGCATCAAGAATTATTTTTAAGGTTCCAAGATCCTACACCAAGGGTATCAAATTGACTATTTCTTTATGTTCCACTAAACTCTTTCCTTTCATCCCATTTTCTATCCCTCACTGGTTCCCCACAGACCTGTTATCTTAATTCTCCAACTTTCCCTCAGGTTAAGGGAGCCACATAGAAAAGTTTCTCCATGACTTGATGGAATGTTTACTATGGTCCCTTTTCTAAAGAGGCTTGAACGACTAGTTCTCATCTAAATTTTTCTCACTTCTCTATCTCCCTCCTGTTGTCATCTCCCTAAGTTTGTTCTTCCCTCCAGTTTGCAGATACGTGGCTAATCCAGTTGGAACCAAAGGCCAAAGAATTTACTCTCCATTATGTTTGATTGAAAAGCTGCCCCAGAAACAGAAAAGGGGTGTGGATCTACACTTACTCTTCCACTTAAGTTCCAAACTATTGATCCGAGCCGCCTTTGTGCACCCCAAAACACAAGACCATGAAAGTAACTACTACAGACCCAGAAATGAGTCTCGATCCAAATGAACTGCCTTTTGGCATGCTATATCCTGGACTGGGGGGCTCACAAAATAACTCTAAAGCAAGTGCTATAGATAATTGGTGAGCGCGGTTGGTGGGGGGTTGGGCAGAA